TTTCCCCCCTGCTTTTCTCCCTGTACACCAACTGCTGCACCTCCAGCCATGACTCTGTGAAACTTATTAAGTTTGCAGATGACACCACCCTCATCGGGCTCATCTCAGACGGTGATGAGTCTGCATACAGGAGGGAGGTGGACCGACTGGTGACCTGGTTCAGCAGCAACAACCTGGAACTCAATGCCCAGAAGACAGTGGAGATGATTGTGGATTTCAGGAAAGCCACAGCCCCTCTGCCCCCCTCACCTGTAATGATACCCCCATCACCACTGTGAACTCTTATCGGTTCCTCGGCACCACCATCACCCAGGACCTCAAGTGGGAGACGACCATCAGCTCCCTCATCAAGAAGGCCCAGCAAAGACTGTACTTCCTGCGACAGCTGCAGAAGGCCAAGCTGCCTGCCAAGCTTATGGTGCAGTTCTACACGGCCATCATCGAGTCCATCCTCAGCTCCTCCATCACGGTGTGGTACGCCGGGGCCACTGCCAGGGACAGACTCAGACTGTAGCACATTGTGCGCTCAGTTGAGAAGGTGATCGGCTGCAGCCTTCCATCCCTCCACGACCTGTACGTCTCCAGGACTGTGAGGTGAGCAGGTTGGATCACAGCTGACCCTGCTCACCCTGCACACGGACTGTTTGAACCACTCCCCTCAGGCAGGAGGCTTCGGTCCATTCGGACCAGAACCTCCCGCCATAAGAACAGTTTCTTCCCCTCTGCTGTTGGACTCCTGAACACTCATAATGCTACCTCATAATGTCTGCTTTGGTCACATTACATCTGTATTATAATTGAATACTCCATCTGTACTGTTTTCTAAGCTTTTTTATTGTTTTCTATTGTATGGGTGTACATATGGTTATGTTATGTTTTTAATTTTACTTTATTTGTGGGTGTACAGAGGTCTTATGTCTTATGTAATGTTCTCATTTTTACTTAATTTTTACTTAATTTTTACTTTATTTTACTTTATTACTATTCGCACCTTATGTCGAAGCAAATTCCTAGTTTGTGAACCTCTTTCATTGACATGGCGATAATAAACTGATTCTGATTCTCATTCTGATTCTGATTATCCATGCTGCTGATCTATTGACTTTAAGTTCCTATATTCATACCCATCTGCTCACAACAGACTCATGTTCAGGCTGCTGTTGAATACACCGTGTTATATTACATTATCATTGTTTAATGTATATCTTAGATCCTTGTATACTGTTTCCTTTTATACTTTATATTTTTGCTATTTTTCGGTGGAACTGGGACCTTGAGTACACAATTTCATTCCACCTCATGTACCACATGTGGTGCGAATGACAATAAAGAACTTGAACCTTGATAAATAGGGTATTGAGATGAAAAAATGTATTTGGCATGCTGTTCTCTAGTATTTGCACCATGCTCAAAGAGGAGTGACGCTGTATCACAAGCTGCAGATGTCAGAGCAGCCTGCATCTGCAGAAGTAAGGGAAAGGTTAAATAGTCTGACATAAAGATGGGAGTTGTAAAGGACGTCTGTCCATCGCCTCTCATTCAATAGTGTTGGATACCACTTACTGTACATATATCATGCATTTATTGTAACTGAATAAAATAAACTGGCTTTCTGAGACTGACATGTTTCCAATTTAATGCATGTGTTTAATAACATAATACTGCAAACAGAAGCTTGGTAGAACTTACAGTGGTGTTGTAAGTTTGTGAACTCATAATTTTCTATATTTCTGCATCCATTTGACCTAAAACATCATCAGATTTTCACACAAGTCCTAAAAGTTGATAAAGAGAACCCAGTTAAACAAATGAGACAAAAATATTATACTTGTTCTAAAAAAGTTAAATCTGGTCCTCTGGACATTCAAAAAAACAAAAAGCAAAACAACAAAAAATGTAGAAACGTTTCGTCTCTCGTCCGAGAGACTTCTTCAGTCTGAGGTGCTGTTTTCAGCTCAGTCTCTTAAATAGCACCTTCTCAGAGTGGATCAACCAGTTTTGCTGCTGACAACCAAAACCAGCTGATCACATGCTCAAGAAGGACCATCAGCCTAACAATGGATCATTAGCACACTGATGGCTGTTTACTGTTCACAGAGGGCTGAGTGATACTAGCAATCACAGCATTGTAAGAGGGGGACAATTGAACACGTAGGCCTCCACCCCTGTTTAATGATGGACGGTTTCTTTTCACAAAGATGGCCTCCTTTACTCCTCTCTCAAACCATCGTTCCTCTCTGGCCAGGATGTGCACATCTTCATCCCTGAAAGAGTGACCGCTGGCCTGGAGATGAGTGTAGACTGCAGAGTCCTGGCCTGATGATGTTGATCTTCTGTGCTGGGCCATCCTTTTGGCCAGTGGCTGTTTTGTTTCCCCGATGTAAGACTGATCACAGCCCTCCTGACACTGAACAGCATACACAACATTACTCTGTTTGTGCCGGGGGACTGGATCTTTGGGATGAACCAGTCTTTGCCGTAATGTATTTTGGGGTTTAAAAGCCACTGGGACGTTATGTTTAGAAAATAAACGTCTCAGTTTCTCTGATACTCCCTCAACATATGGAATGACCACTGGTCTGGGTCTGGGTTCCTCCTTTTCACCTGTTGGCTGACTGGAGTCCTGTTTGGGTTTCTTCTCTGCTTTTAGGAAGGCCCAGTTAGGATATCCACATTGCTCTAGAGCCTGTCTTGTGTGGGATTTCTCCTTCTGCCTGGCTCCTGAGCTAGTGGGGATGCTGTCTGCTCTGTGATACAGAGTCCTGATGACTCCTAACTTGTGCTCCAAAGGGTGATGGGAGTCAAACTGCAAATACTGGTCTGTGTGGGTGGGTTTGCGGTACACCTCAGTTTGCAAATGTCCTCTATCAGAGACTGAGACCTCACAGTCCAAGAAAGCCAACTTGCCATTTTTTTCATCTTCTCGTGTGAACTTGATGTATTTATCCACAGAGTTGATGTGGTCAGTAAAATGTTGGACTTCCTGAGATTTAATTTTAACCCAGGTGTCGTCAACATACCTGAACCAATGACTTGGTGGTGTCCCTGAAAAGGACGTCAAGGCTCTCTTTTCTACCTCCTCCATGTACAGGTTGGCAACAATAGGAGAAACTGGAGACCCCATAGCACACCCATGTTTCTGCCTATAATATTGCTCCCCATATGTGAAGTAGGTTGACTGCAGGCACAGTTTCAAGAGTTGACACAGTTGTTCTGTGGAAAGCGTGGTCCTGCTGCTCAGAGTGGTGTCTGATTTTAATTTTAACCTGACCACCTCTACTGCATCATCAACAGGAATGCACGTAAAGAGTGATGTGACATCAAAAGAGACCATTGTTTCATCAGTCTCCATGATGACATCCCTCACCTTATCCACAAAGTCCATGGTGTTATGTATGTGGTGTTCTGAGCTGCCAACTAAAG